TTAAGTAACACGGATCCATATGAAAAATAATAAGATTTTTCCATACCTTGATTATATTGTTGGGGTTTACTTTTTGGGGTCGATCTAGATTTAAATCCCCAACCACTACTACTTCCTCCCCTTCGGCTACTCTTTGCAGCATCGGCATCTCTCACTGTGAAGAACAAAAATTATGTTAAGGTAATAAAATATTGAATGGTTATTTATATTAAGCTTTCAATTATATTAAAAATATTTAAGTAAATCTGTTGTACAGAACTAATTGCTTGACTCATACAATTGTCAAAATTCTAATTGGGAAATTGTGTTACTATTTATGGACAAATTATTACATGTAATATATAAAACTCCAGACAGAGCACACTGAGAGATCTCTTTTACTTTAACATCACTCAATAATTATATTGCTTTTCTTTACGTTTTAAATTCATTTGAAATTGTAAAGTAACAAAGTTTTTGTCGTTATATACGATATATAAATTTTGAAAGTTTAATTGACATATTTTAAATTGCCAAAAAACAGCAATTTAATTTTGCATAAAATATTTAACAATTTTCAATTTCACATAGAATTAGTATAATAAATGTTAGAATAAATTTACTCGAAAAATTTGCATTAAATATGATTTCTAATGTTATCAGTAAAATATTTATTAGTATAACTAATTTTGAAATTTTCATTTTTGCTAATATTTACATACATTTTTTATTGACATTTCTTGTATTGAATGGTTGATAATTACTACAATATTCATAATTATATATATAGTAATTTAATTTTAAAATAATGCTAAACAATTTTCGGTAATTCTCTTTTACTTTTTAATATATGTAGCAAATAATTAATTTTATTATATACATATTTAGAATATCTTCTAATAAATAGTGATTATCATAAATGAAAAAAAAAAATTTAAGTGATTAATTGCAAAATTTCCATTATCTCAAGAAATATATCTGTTAAATTAGTTTTCTTTTCAACCACAATAATTGAATTGAAAATAGATTATGTTAATATATCTTATTATTATAAATAATAACAAATTAAAATGATATTCAAATATTTTTATTATCTATGAATTTAACAATAACTGTTGTTAATCATTATTGAATATTTTAAATATTTTCTTTATAATGCATATTATTATATATATATATATATATATATATATATATATATATAAGATTAATATAACATAAAAAAAACAAATAATTAAATGATAGACACAACGCAAATAATGTGCATAATCTTTTTGTTTACACCTGAAAATATATTTTGATAAACAAATATTTATGTAATCAATATTTATTAACAAAAATATAATGTAACATTTATCAGTTATATAATAGTTACACATTTCTTAAATTGATGAATAAGCAATTTTTTAATTTTTATTTTTTCATAATTTTGTTACAAATTTCCATCTAATAACTCATATATTTTTTTAACTAAAAAATATATGATTTCGAAATAATTACTAATGTTAAATCTGCAGATAATAAATTTTCCTCTTGATGAAATTAGAAACGAATTCTTAATTAAAAGTTAATTATATTATTATTTATAATATACTATAATAATCAGAAAAATATATAAATTGAAGCATATTTTTTAATTTAATAATTAATATATTCCAAAAATTATGTTTAAATGTTCAGTTTTTTAAAAATAATTCTTATCGGATTGATTTTATTAATTTAATTATAACATATTATAATGATATTTTAATGATTCAATATTATTTAATAATTCAAATCTAGATTTCAAAGTCCTTAAATTATACAGTTTAAATATTATATTATTGCAATATAAATAATATCACTAAAGGAGGTATATATTTATATAATTATATCTACAGAGTAAATAAGTTGTTTACACGATCCATTACTCATGGAAGATGTAGTCTGCTACACAGTTTAAATAATTTTAAGTTTTCTTTATTTAATCTACACTGATAAATAGGCTTCATATATCACTATTATCAGCGGGTTTTTCGTATACTATATCAATGTGAGGAAATTTCGTTGAACGTTGAATGATAATCGTGCTATATTCAAACGTATTGTTAAATTGTTCTATATACAGATAAGTGAATAATAACGTTTGCAAGTGCTACGTCTGTCATCACGAGGATCGTTATATCATTATTTAAACATCCGTACAATTTCGAACATACTACAAGTTGTTTCTCTACAATTTTGATAACATCATCAGAAATATTTCCTAGTCTGTAATGAACAAATCCATGATTTTCCCTTTTGATGTAGCAACTTATAGTCTGCGTATTTCATAATCTGGCTAATTGATAAAAAACAAAGTTTTAAACTTTAATTATCGAAATTTTGACGATATTTCTAATTTTTCCATTAATTATTTTTGGATTTTTAGTAATAATTTTCTATGCGACTTTCAAAAAATACTTTTTATATATTTAAAAAAAAAAATCTGCAAATAAGTATAAAATAAATTTATATTATTATAATAAGTATAAATTTATATTTTTATTTTGCATATTTTAATTATTTTTTAATCGTTGTTATATTGAAAAACTCATTAATTATATTTTTATTTATATCGATATATATATAATAAAATACACGTCAATTTAATCAAATGATTATATTTTTTATCATTAGTCTCAGTTTTTACATAGTTTCTATTTAATATTTTGAAATGATATAGAAATTTATGTTTTTATAATGTATTTTAACACTGATTTAAAAATTAAAAATTTAATTTTAATTTTTAAATTATCTATGCATTTGTAATATAATGTTTACAGTATAATTCAAAATAAGATGTGTTATATAAAAACAATTATAGTATTTATATGATATTTAATAAATATATTATTGTGTTTTTAATAATTGTATAATGTTACAAGAATGAAATTAGATAAAAAGTTTAATAAAACATAGTCTACTATTATACAATTTAAAGATCTACAAAAGAAACATCAAATTATTCTTTATTGTTGTTATTATATAAGTATATGTATACATGCATGTATATAAGCACAATATTATTTTTACCGATTAAAAGACCCAGTATATTTTATATAGCATGTGCTTTAATTACAATACGTGTATTGAAAATGAAAAGAAATTTCATATGTTATTTATTTTTAATCTAATCTTTCACTTAAAATTTCTTCTGCTAATATCACTTCTATTTTAAATAAACACTAAATTAAAAATATAATAAACACTTAATGCACATTACATAGCTTGATTTTTAAGAACCAAAAGTGGACTTAAATTAACATTAAAACATAAAGAATTACACCGATACTCAAATATAAAGTAATGTTAAATATCACCGTAATAATATCTATTATGTCATTCTATTATGTATCAATAAAGCAGATTTTTATTTTTCATATTTTCAAGTGACGAAACATTAGATCATTATATGCGAAATTCTCGTTATAACAGACACGTAGGAAGATTAAACAATTCTAACGCTTGTGTAAAAGTTTAACCGACCAGCATAATGAGTGAATGATATAAAAAGATAATTATAAATTAACAAACATTTTGTTTAACATTTACGTTAATAAGCGAACTATTCTAATAACCTACCAGAAATGATGAACAGGAGTACAAGGATGAAAACACTGGCTAAACTCGTTCGAAAAGCCATAACTTTTCACGACTTTCTACTTGGAGTCAATCAGTAGAATAATAAAATTCAAATGTTGGTGACTGGATATATTTTTATATTGCCAAACGAATCAACGGGAAAATAAAGTCATGTGGAGCGCGTAGGTCAACGCGATTCAACGCACATTAGACTCACGGTCACTCAAACGTCACTGATGACCAGTACGATAAACTGTGATGGTATACTATAAGCCAACATCTTGTAGCGGTGGAGACGGAAGGAGAGATAGTGAGATAAAGAGAGAGGCTTCTACAAATACACGACTATACAATACGCAGTAAAGGTTGACTTATGAGCTGATTTCTGCTTGCCCCTGACGTAGAATAGAACACTGCTGATCTGGATAGAACAAACAATAACTCATCCCTAGGCCAATTAAATATTTTTCCTATTTATTTGTCTGAATATTTTTGAAACAAGTAAAAGTAATCTGCTATTTACAACATAACGATTATTTATATTCAATTTTTTTATGCAACTTTATACAAATTACAAAACGTAATTTTTATCTTGCAATTTGCCTTTCCCAGGCCCATTTTGTGAATTGGTTTAATTAAATTGATCATCATTAAAACATTGAGACAGTATAACACTTATTTATTATAATGCTAGAATGGTATCAATAATAAACTTATATTTTGCATAAATTAAAAATTATTTTAAAAGTAACATTGTTATTACAAATAATTTCAAATAATTTTTTAACGCAATTTAGTATATTTAAAAAATTATATGTATATTTTAAAATTAATATTGTAAAAAAATCAAAAACTAATTTTTGACTAGTAATTAAAATTTCCGGTATTTATAAAATTAATTCGATTTTAAATAATTATGCTACGTATAATTTGATGACAAATATATTCAAAACAATTGAATTTGTACAATATTTCACAATAAATGTTATTTAGCTATTAAACTCGTTAGTCATTGTATTTATGCATTATGAATTTATTTGAACTTTAAATATTGTTAGTTGTCGATTTGCTGATAGATAAAATAAGATATTATTAGTAAAAAAAAAAACAATAAAACATGAATATGTTAAAATAGTTTTTAAAGAAGCACCTAAATTATACGATTGCTATATTATTTATATCAATCATACAGACATTAATATATGTAATGACTGATATATAAATTTATATATGCAAGCTAATTGTATAAATATTTAATAAAAATTATCACATTAATTAATTGAAGTAATTATATTTTTATATTTTAAATTGATTATTACTAAGTAAAACCATTTTTATACTTATATTTATAAATATATACTTAATATTTATGTATTTTTTAACACCTCTAATACAAAATTTGTTTTCTTCCATTATAGAAAATACTGAATTTTGATTCTTTAAAGACTAAAACTTAAATACGAAATTAAATCTCCCCTCTTAAGAAATCTTGAAATTCGACATTGAAGGTATTTGTGTTATTCATAAAATAATGCTTAATTTTTTACCATATTAATAAGAATTCATTATATATATATATATTCATTTGGTTATTACACTTATATATTATTATAATCTTCTTAACAATAATTAATAAAACAAAATTATATATATATATATATATATTTATATATTTATTTATTTATTCTACATTATGATTAACAAATAAATAAAATTTGTCTAAAATTAATATTTAATAAATTTTCATTTTTAAAAACCATACAATTACGGAACCATTGAAGTTTATTAATAATGTAAAACTAGAATCACTTATTTTGTTCTTTTTTCTTATCATCTCTGTTTATATATTTATCAAGAATAGCTTCACTTGCATAATCTGGAATGGATAACTGTTGAAAACCTTCTTCATCAACAAAACAAATCTCATGATCATCCTATGAATTTAAATTATATGAATATTAATAAAACAAAATGTTTTGAAATTAAATAAAAAATATGCTTACAGGATCAGCTAAAATTATAACAGTTACGGATGCTTTTCCAGGAGTATCAAGAGTTATTAAATCAGTTAAAATTTTATTTTTACTATCTATAATTTTTTTACGAATAACTTCTTGTTCTGCTTTTGGAACACCAAAGGCAATACGACCATAGGCTTTTGCATGTTGAACTTCAATACCTACAAGAATTATATATAACAAAAAAAACTAAAAAATGTTTTTAAAAATTAAAAATTAATACCAATATCTATAATTTCTAGTTTAGCTTGATTGCTTCCATATTCTAAAATAGCCATGTTTTGTTTTTCTTCAACAAGTGTCATTTCTAAGATTTCTTTCCAAAATATAATACTGTGTTTAAGATTAGAACTCGATAAAGCAATTTTTTCGATAGGATCTAATAAACAATTTTAAAACTTGTATAAGCAATTAATAGAAAAAAAATTATACAAAATACTAAAATTTATTTTAGATAAAATCTATTATTATATATACCTTGATTAACAGGTTGGGGTTCATTAATGATGAAATACTTATATCCACCTGGAGCTTCTAAAATATATTTTCCATCTTGTTCATTAATTGGCCAATTATGTTTCTTAGCTCTATCAATTATTTCTTTTGAACGAATTGTTATCCCTTGAAAATCATTGCCTATTTCGTATAGATCTACACCATAGTTGTAGGTCAGTTCAATCACAAAATGACTATCTTCAGGACCATAACCAATCATTGTTTTACTCCAGCGATTTGCATATGGTCTGTAAAAAATATGTTTATAAACACTGTATCAAATGTTTGTCAAAAATGAATAAGCATACCCATTACAAGCAGCTTCACAGCCATCTGCAAATTCTTCATGTCGAAGTACCTGTACAAAGTAATTTTATAACATATGTATAATTGCAAGTACATTAATATAGTTTTTAACAATTTACCTTCATTCCCAAAATTTCTCTATAAAATTTGGCGGTGAGTTTACGTTCACCGATTTTAAAAACAAAATGTAAAACTCGTCCGTTAATCATTATTTAATTGTAATTAACTGAATTTTGACCAACAATAAATAGTAATGAAATCGTTAAACCACAAATTATGGAGTACTTGAAGATTTATCTTTTCCATGCATTACCCTTTTCAATTAATGTAAGTGCATTATTTGATTTACAAACAAATTACAAATTTACAAACCTTTAAATTACCCCTGAAAGTCTGGAAATTATGTATGCCACCATGGGAACTAACAGAAATACCATTTTTATATATGCAGTATATGTAGTAGACTAAAAAAATGATTTGTATGATTTTATTAACTTGAAGTAGTTAAATAGTTATCAAATATGAGGACAAATGTTTTCAAACAAAATTTTGTAAAAGTTTATATTTTAAAAAGATTGTTAAAATATTATATAAATGTTTGAATAAAAATAATTTTTACATTTTTAGAATTTTATATAAATTTAGTTCTATTAATAATTATAAATAAATAATATTTTTATAATAGTAAGTATTTAGTATTTAATATCAGGATTTAAACATTTTTTATTATTATATTTATGTTTTTATATTTTTTAGTACTATATATAACGATGATTTAATATAATTTAGTTGATAATTTTATATGAAATTTAAGTAAAAAATGATTAAATACTTCATAAGGAAATTAAGCAGTATTTAAAATTAAACAGATTAAGTGGAATCTGAGTCTGCGCAAAAATAACTTTATACTAATTGGTGATCACGTATGCGCTAGTTTTGAATTTACTAATAATAATAAGAGTTGTCTTGTAATAAAGAAAAACTACATAAATTTTCTTCTATATTTACTCTGCTCTTATGCTCAACTGGGTTCACAAACTAATTAATATGTAATTGTTTTTCCGTATACTTATTTTTCATTTTCAAGACGATATTACATTATGATGGCACTTTTTCTCGTATCGGTAGCCCCTTCCACTTTTTTTTTCTTTAGTTGCCACTCACATGTTAGCAGTACTGACACTACTGCTAGTAAGCATTGCATAAATAAACGCAACTTTAACATTAAAACAATCGATTATTAATATATAATCCTTACTAGTCGATTAAATGCATAAATAGGAATGATAATATTTTAATATAGTTGACTAGTCATTCTAAATTGAACCTCCACATCCACATTCATAAGAATTAAACCAGTATGATTTTTGAAAAAAAAACATGTTTACGTTTAATTTTGCCACATTAAATTCTACTAGTGGTAAATATTATTTTATGTCTAATTTATTTATTAGTGTCGGTAAACTTCAGTCGTGCATTTTATTATTAAAATTAAAATTATTTTAAAAATATTAATTTATCGTTCTGCTTATTTCATTAGAAAATCAAGAGGAAATTTGTAAAAAAAAAAGCCAATTAAATTGGTTTTCAGCTAAAAATATTGATTTAGCAAAATTATTTGAAAAGAATTATGAACTAATAAGTCAGCCTATATCAAATATAAATTTTCCAAATTTTCCATTAAAACTTATTGATTCCAATAAAGTTGTTATAAATCTTGTTGAAAAAAACTGTAGAAATATTATTGAAGCTGAATCACAACATTCTGATCTTCTACCAGCCAAATATGAAGGTAATATTTATTTCAACATTTGGATATATATATATATATATAAATTTGTTTGAATGTAATATATATAATTTTTATTATCAGGAGGTTTAAAAATCTGGGAATGTACCTATGACTTAGGAAAATACCTATTATCAGAAAAAATTGCATTTAACAATAAAACAATTTTAGATCTTGGTTGTGGAGCTGGCATAATTGGTCTTCTCGCTTTACTTCAAGGGTCCTTGGTCGATTTTCAAGACTATGTATTTATGAACTTTTTATTTTTATATTTGAAATATTTTTTAAATCATTTTATTTATAATAATTAAATATCATCATGACATATTTAATATATAAATAGTACTATTCTTTGTAATTATGAGGTACAATTATATTTTTGATACATTGATCATTTATATATGTAAATATATTATAACCTACATAAAAATATTTTTCAAGTTAAATTATTATCTTTGTAAATATCTATTTTTAATATTTTATACTTTTTAGAATAATGAAGTTATTGAATTTGTAACAATTCCGAATGTAATTTTAAATTGCTATAATTATAAACTTGTGGAAGAAACATGTAAATTTTATACTGGTGATTGGGAATCATTTAGTAATCTTTTAGCAAGTAATAGTGCAAAATCACTATATGATTTTATATTTACAAGTGAAACTATTTATAATCCAGATAACCATCAAAAGCTATATCAGATATTTAAACAGCATTTAAAGAAAAATGGAATTGGGCAAGTACTATCAGATTTATTTTAATAATTTCATTTGCAAATAAAAATATCTTATATAATTTCTGTTTTTGAAATACAGTTATGTTGCTGGTAAAACTTATTATTTTGGTGTTGGTGGAGGTATGAGACAGTTTGAGAAACTTGTTTTAAGAGATAATATATTTGATGTACAAGTCGTATGGAAAAGTAATGAAGGTAAATTTAATCTGGACCAATATATGTACTAATAATTTTATATAATTTAAATAAGTTCAAGAATGTATGATTTGCTTGTAGGTCTACAAAGAGAAATACTTAAATTAAAAAGGAAAGTATTTTGAAAAATGTTAGTTTGAGTATGTTAAATTTATTATGTCTATTTTACTTTAAAATGAATTTGTCGAATTCGATTATGTAACATTAAAAAGATTTTAAAAAATTATTTATTAATTTCATGATAAAACAATATTACCCATCTTAAATATATTTTTTATTATTATTATTTTATTCTTTAAATATTAACGATTTCGTAATATTTAAAGTCAAAATCTTTATTTATAACTAAACATAAATAAATTATTTATATTTGTGTAATTAAAGCTGAAATACTACAATTAAGAATTGTAGAAGTTAATTTTTTTAAACTACTGTTTTTGAACATGCATTTTTTGTTTATTATGACTTATTCCTTATTACACTATACAACTTAATTATATCTAAATGTAATATGAATGACTTCGAGTTGCATATATTAATTTTATCATATACGCAATGTTATTAAGAAATTTTTAGACAATTGTTAAAATTAGAATTTTTCTTAATGTACATCCATAAATGATATAAATATATAATATAATATATTCTAAAATTAAATGTAAAATAATGTAAAATTAGATTTAAAAAATTTGATTGTATATCGAAAATTTTCAACATATATTCCATGGTGTATAGTGGGCACAACTAACTAATAAATGAACCGTAAATACTTGTTGGTACGAAAATGAATAATTTTTATAAAGCTCATCGATCGATATCCATCAACGAATATTATCGCTGTTGTATATAAATTTAATTAATTAGTAGGTCATATATTTTAACTATATCGAGTCAATAATTTAAAATTCACTTTGATATAAAGTTACAGACTATTTATAATATAATCTCGATTACCAGTTATTGATTAAATGAATAAACAATCAAATCATTAAAATTATTAGTAAAATAACAATTTTATTTTAAAAGTATTAGAAACAAAAATATTACTGAATACTAATTCTTTGGAACCGAAGTTATTTTAAATAATTCATTCGGTAACTAGTTTGTATTATCGCATGTGAACGATTGGAATCGATTACAAATGCAGTTTCGCATTTCTCGATTCTCGTATACGAGTCATGCAACGTCGACTTTGCCAAGATAATATCGATAATCTGTATTACTTCCGCACAAAGAGCAGTCAATCAGATGGATAAGATTTACCAACTATTTATTTAACGTTATTAAAACGGACACGAGCAAAAATAATTATCAAGGCCTTATCAGAAGCTTACGTAACGCGCGAAAAGATCTGCATTTTTTTTCTGCAAAATACGATTGTCAAGGTAAACAAATGCATATTTAGAAAGTGCAATTACACCATCAAATTTTAGTTATGAAATATACAGCATTTCCATAATTAATTATTTGTTGAGCATTAAAATACTTGCTCGTCAATATATTTTTACAGTAGTTTACGTTAATTGATCTATATAAATTAATAAAAATATTTTCATATTTAAGTTTTGTAATAAATTATCAATATCAAATTATTTTACTATATTTTTCTTGTCATAACATTTTAATAAAAATTCATAATATAATAAATATTCATTTTAATAAAAACAAAAATCACACTAACCTTATTTTATTCAATTCTTAATCATTTCGTAATGACAAGAATAAATAAAATCCTTGATTTAATTATTTTGTTAATTTAATTACTACTTTGATCGTATCTCTATATATAATTAAAACAAATTTGTACATTTTTTAATTTAAAAGAAATTAACTATTCTTTTTTCAAAATTTTATTAAAAAATATTTTTATAAATAATAAAACTTCTTATAATTTTATTGTTTAAATTTCATTATTTTGTCATAAAATAAGTAATCACATTCTCTCAGAAATAAATACAAATAGATATTAAATAAAATATTAATCCAAATTTATCAACCATGACTTAAATTGTTCCAAATCAGTTGGTGTACCAGCACTGCATTCTGCAAATTTAATTTTTCTATCAAGATGTGAAAATGAAAAATCTTTTCCAGTTATTCCTAAATATACATTAGATGATGATGCATCTGTGTTATCCAATTGATTAGTTTTAGTTACCCTTAACAAATTCATTTCTTTTTCAAGTACAGCTTTTATAACTGTACTGTTTTTTGCTAAAGTATGATCTTGCTTATTGCAAAGAATTAATATTGGAACACTTTTACGTATCATTAAATCAGATAGCAAAGTATATAGAAATCTAAAACAAACTTATAATTATAAAAGAACTTAATAATAAATTTGTAAAGACGATGCTTTCTAATACTTACTCGGCAGTATCTCTTACATCTTTTTGAATAGTTACAGAATCAATAACAAATACTAACCCTTTTGCAAATTTTTTATACTTGTCAAAAAATTTGTATCTTAATCGTTCATGTCCAGGAATATCAACTATCTTGATAGAGTGCTATCGATTTTGTTTATAAAAAAACATATTAAATAATTTAATAAAAATACGCAATTATACAATTTCCATTTTATGTTACAATAAAAATTAATTAAATGCATTTTTATGTATTTCCATTATATAAAAATAAAAAATTGCCCACCAAGAAATTTAATATATTTAGTAATGTATTATAATCTAGTGTAAACATTATTATAAATCAATTTAAAGGATAAGTCATAATTGTAATCTATCTTATATTACATCTATAAAAATATTTCAATTAAAATCTTACATTATACTCAAGGTCACTAATATTTTCTTTTACAGAGGTATGAGTCTGCACATACTTGGTATGTATCAGTCGAGCATAAATGAGTGTTTTACCAGCATTGCAAAGACCCGTAAGAAGTATGCAATGTCCAATAGATGTTCTGCGTCTCCATAAAACATAAAGAACTACCAGAAGAAAATGTCAAACTAAATTAATATATTAAGCAGAAATGATTTTATGTACATGATAATACTTTAATAATTTGGAATGCTTTCATAATATGATAATAAGCAAGCGTGTATTATTATTAAGGAAAAAAGTAGTCTAATTTATATTAATTTTTATTAGGATATGTATTTTTTTTGTTATTATGTTTTCAATTATAATGTTATCATTGTTACTGTCATTGCCTTAGTTTTAATATTCATAAATTTTTTTAGTATTCTAAATATTTTATATTATCTTTAAATTATAAAAATTATAATACTATAAAATTATCATTTAAAAATTGGGTTATAATTATGTCAAGTTAAAAACGTGCACAAAGTCTAACCTAAACGTGTAAGAAAATAAATAAATCATTCTCTAATAATTTGTGTATTTCTTACCTAATGTTATTGTCACTGTAAAAATTGCTATAATAATCCCTATTAATTGCGATTCTGAGTTTTTGCTTATGAAGCGTTCAACATGTTTCTCCATGATTTTTAGAACCACAAAATTTTAATTAGAATTCAAATTATTTAAACATCTGGTTCTGCTTGTTCAATATTAAACTTGTTTCCATATTTTCATCTTTTAAAGTATAAGAAGTAGAAAGACGTGATCTGCTTATGTGGTTGCAACTTTTAAGTCTAGACTCTATTTGGTAGTGACAACAGTGCTACCATAATACAGCAATTAAATGATGGATCACATTATAAGTATAAATTAATGTCATTATAATCTTTACACATAAACATATAAGAATGGAAAATAGTATTTTTAGACGTACGTAATCTACAAAATCATTATATAAATTTGATGAAAATAAAATTTATAATTGACGGATTGATTCGCAATTCAAGAATTTTTATCTTACATTTATAAAAATATAACCAGAATATAAAGCACTAGTTGTACTACATATCGGTTTCAAAGTAATTCAATTTTTCTAATTTACATTTAAAATAATTAATTTGTTTTTTATAAAATTTCGAATAAAATGATTTGCTGAATATAATAATACCATAACAATATTGAATATGCTCAGAAAATTTATTATATAAATTGGTTCTATTATTTTATGTAGGTATTTTATGTGTATACATAAAATAAAATAATGTTATGCTTTTAATTTCTAATTTTCTAATCCATAATACAATTTATTTTTATTATTTATTATTTATTTATCATTCTATTTATTATTTAATTTTATTTTTATAAAATATTTATCACTGTTTTTTATTAATCGGAATTAAACGATCTTATAATAAATTCTTATATATATATATATATATATATATATATATATATACACGCATGCATATATTTTCGCATATATAATCATGTGTATATGCGTATTGATACAATCATGAAAATTATGTTTTTTAATACAAAATAAAGGTTTTTTTTATTTTTTAATTAAACTTTTGTTGTTACTTTTGTATTAAATAATATTATATTCATGATTTTATTTATTTTTTTTTTATGAATACATATTAAGCACAGCATATACTTGAAAAATTAGTAGTTTGACACGTTTTAATATAACAGTTGTCAGCATTAGCATTTATTAATGTTAATTATAAAAAATTATAAATTTATTAATTATAAAATATAAATTTATTAAAATTATAAAATTATTAATTATAAACAATGTTAATTATAAAAAATCAAAATTTTTATCCATTAATTAGATTTTTAATTTAAGTTTTAATAGCAAAACCCTATTATAATTATCGTCTGTACTTGATACTTATTTTCTATAATTTATCGACATTTTTTTAGCAATAATGAATTAATGAATAAATTGTGTTACTTTAAAAAATGTATTAAGTTAATGATCAAATACAATAAGTTATTAATTAAAAGTTTATATTAAATTGTAATAAATATTGTTGTCTGGTGAATAGAAAAATGCAAATTGAAGAATTCGGAAATGATATTTTATCATTTTGGTAAATACTTTTCTCTCAATTTATTTTTCCTAGAAGAGCTATATATTTTTGTTAAAATAATATGAACGGAATATATTTAATTTTTTATAAGCTTTTGGATCCTTCATAACCATATAGCTTCCATAATGATTCGTCACTCAATTTTTTTATCACTCGCTTTCTCTTGGTAATAAGACCAATATTACCAATAGTCTTGATATCTATAATTGTTTGGATAAATATTTTTTGCCATATAAATGAAAGTGTATTTTATATAATTCATTAAAAAATGGACTTTATAATGGACTTTATACTTTAAAAAGTATTTTTGACATATTTTTCTGATTCAGATGTTTTATTCATAAATAATAAAATACGTTGATTTTAAAGTCAAGTAGTTAAATTATTTATCATAATAGAATTTTTTAATACGTGTGCCAATAAATTTATCTAAACGTTAAATAAATAGGCATGGCAATCGATTGATGAATAATTGCTTAAACGCGTTGTTAAATAAAAAATAACGTTTGGTGTAGCTTATTATAATGATTTTTTATACTCTAAGAATTTATAAAGTACCTTGCTTAAATATTTTTTTTATTGCCGATATTTCATAAAAGCAAAATTTGAATAAGGAAGTTTAAATTATCGCTTGCATCACTTTATTTTAGATAATTAACTTTTATATAAGAGATACATTTAAATGGTGTGCACAAAACAGATATTGAAAGATTCTGTAAAATTCAATAAATTTAAAATTCAAAAAAGTATTAAATAAAAGATTCGTATATTTTAAAATCATTTCACTGAAATATTTTCACTTCAAATTTCTGAATTTTGTTCTGTGTACTCTGTCAATTTTCTTTGTTAATTTAATATGTTAAAATATATATATAGAAACCAAGAATTTACAAATTTTGTATATTATTTTAACAGATTGAACAAACAATATTGTTATAAATAAAAAATATATTATACTTTGTATAATTCCTTTAAGACTATTTTTATTGTTAACTATTTTGATAAACCATTAAAAAAATTACTAAAATTTAGATCGTATGTTTTACGATCTATCAAATGAAAGTTAAATTTTTACATTTGGATTTTTATTTTTGCACTTTACAATGTCTTTCTATTTTTCACCATATTATTTGTAAATTGATGTATTTAATTTAAATCTGAAATTTATTTGCTGCAAATTTATATTTATGACTATATTTCAATTGTAATTTTTTAATATCCAGTTTATTAATCCGTACCTAATTCAATTCTATAAATAACCTCCATTTCGCTGTTATTTAATCTATTCTTATAGAAATGTGATTTTTATTTTATAAAATTTTATTACGAAAGTAAATCTATTTTGATGTAATTTATTATTTAATTCACATTTTCTGTATTATTAGTAAATTGTGAAAATGTATAAGAGTAATTAATTTTATGATTTAACTAATAACTTATTTAAATATTAATTAATAACTTATTTAACTAATAACTATTAACATCGAATAATCGAAATATATTTATTCGCATTGTATTGTTATGAAAGACTATATAAGAATTATATGCTAGGCGTTTTATACATGTTATTTTTAATGAAATTTAATTATTTTAATATTTCAAGTTAGATGAAACCAAAAAATAGATAAGCAAATAAAAAGATAACTGGTAGAAAATAAAAAGATTTCAAGTTCCGTTACATTTACTACATTTATTATTTATATTTATATATGTGAATAAATTAAGAGCAATACATCAATGATAATGATCTTGACTATAATTACAATGATATATGTCAATACGTACATATCATAACTATATTGATAAATGAGTATTAAAATAAATACGCTTTTCTCGTTATTATTAATTACAATTAAAAATATTTATAGGATACAAAATTTATATTTTATTCGTAAAGACTATCAAGGACAATAAAAGCACCTAAATGTATATGATTAACTTTATAATTCGCATAGAATATTGTACTATATTTAGGATTTTTAAATTATAAAGTGAACACGTTTTAATTTTTGACATAAAAGTAAAAATAATAGATGTTTTAAAACTCAACCAAAGTAAGTTTACAAGAAGACATTTTTTAGTATTGATCACGTTGGAGCACAATAAAAATCAACTTATCTTACATTAAGAAGTCAAATAATGTCTAGAATATTTACTCTGATGAAAGCGAAATGTTAAAGATAGTATTCAAATATCTCAATTATGTTTAAATACTTGTGAGTGATACCTATCAATCATATGTTCAAACTTATTATTAATTATTGATTGATAGAATCAATTTATTTTGTCTTTAACAAACAAACTTTGTGTTTAACAAACAGGTGTGAAAGTATGAAAGTATATATATTAAATATAATGTTTTAAATCATATTCACAGAATAAACGTCATAGTCATATTTAAAAAACAATAAAAATAAAATCAAACACTTTAAATGTCAGAATATTTAAATGTCAAACGTTCAAGATATACGAAATATTAAAACAAGCTGGTAAATTAATTTATAATACCGTATATTTTCTTAAATTCTAGCTATTTATATACCCACATAATTTTGCCGACGAATCTACGTATACTGAACTCTCAATGCTGTGAATTTAAAAAAAATTTTTTTATAATAATTTTAAATGATTCAAATTTAATGAGACATTATAACGTCTAAAACTTTCTGATTAACATGTATATTTGGAATAATGAATATCGAATTGTTTGAAACAATGTCTAATAACAAAATTTATTATCAATATTTATATAAATGATTAAGAATATTATATGTAGAATTTGTTTACTAATTAAATTATATGATAATAAATCATTTTTTATTGAAATTATGAATGGCTATTTAAATATATTTTAATATAAATATATATTTTTTTTTAGCGCTTGAAGTAATATTTTGAAAATGATACTATAAATTAAGTTAATATGCAGCTTCAAATTTTATAGTAAATTATAATTAAAAATATTTTGAAATTATGTATAATTTATTATATTAATATTTATTAAACTTCATATTAATTAATAATTATATACTTATTCCATTTATTACCAACTTGTCTAATTATTTAAATTGAAATCATATAGTTTAATTATAACTTTATCAATATAGGTTAAATAGATAAAATGTCAATATTATCAAAAGTCAGTATTCTAAAAATTTTATGAATATTTTAAGAGAAAGTAATAATTTAAATAAACTTCAAATTCAAAAAAATTCATACTTATTTTAGAACAAGAAAAATATAAATTCTTTAAATTCTATAGACAATTATTTTGAAAATTCATTCAAATTCTATTACATTTTAATAAGTAAATTACATTCGATCAATAAGTATCGTTCAAATTATTACGTCATATAGCAGTCTACTATGAATTATAGTGAATAAATGTAAATGGCTAAGAATTTTAAAACCAAATCACGCTTGAATCAAATTTAATTTGAAATATATTAAGCGCTAGAAAATCTAGTATTAAAAAAAATTTTATTATTATTGAAAAATTATACATATAACAGGTGAATATAAAACTTCTATTTAAATTAAATCTACTTGCGCTTCATTACAAAATATTTATAAAAATTTAATATTACTCGTAAAATAGCATTTGATAATTACTTCAATAAATGAATAATATTCCGTTTTATAGGTCCGTATTAATCGTCGATTATCAACTAAATCAAGCTTGTTCTTTAAATAGAAATCAGCTTATTATGCATAATTATATTATTCATACAAAATAATATTTAGTTGA